AGAATTATTTGCTGGTTATCGTTCATGTTTATTAATTATTCGTATTAATCCTAAACCAGTTATTTCATTTCATAAAGTAAATATTTTTTTTGTTTGATTTATTTATTTGTTTATAAAAAAAAAAAAAAATATTTTTTTTTTAAGGCAAGTTTTCTTGGTCATCATCGATTAGTTAAAGATGAATTTATGTTACGTGTACTTGATTCAATGTCATTTCATAAATTTATTGAAGAACGTGGTCCACCTTATCGATCATGTGATATATTTGATGAAGTTTATGCTATGATTTATGATCAATTAAAACGTGAAAAAGATTCAATAACAAATAATAATTCAACAGCTATTTTAGAACATATTAAAGAATTAGCAAATCAACTTTTGTTAAATGTACGCAAAATAAACAAATAAAAAAAAAAATAAATTATTAAATATTTCGGTTTTTTGTTTTAATAAAATATTTTTTTATTTATTATAGGAAAATCCATCACCACAACAAACATATACACAAAAAGTACCACAACCATCACAAACTAGTTGTATGCGAGATAATTTACTAGAATTTCCACATTTGGATAAAGAATTAGTTAATGTAGCGATTAAAGAAGGAATTAAAAAACAACAAAATAGCAGGTAGGAATAAATTTAAAATTTATATTTCTTCTGTTCTATTAATGAAATACGATCTGAAATAAGTATTGAAGTATATATAGGGTAAAGGTTTACCCTCGTCATAGAAACGGTTCTTCAATAGATCCGGCTCGGTTTTCAAAATATCACATCGAATCGAAACTATTACATAGATACGAAAATTATAAATATATTGCTCGAAAGTTCTGCTGTTTTTGTCTCTCAATCTGTATCATGTACTTTATCTAAAAAACATTGAATAATAATAATAATATTCTATTGGTCGAATTTTAGAAGAAGTTTTTTATACAAATGATTTAATAGAAATTTTTTTATTGATTATTTCTTTGTAGACCTTATTCAGCTCGAGTTAGTCAACCATGTGTCGTAAAATTGGGCACATCAATACATATACTTAATGGACGAAGTGATATTTCACAATCAGCACGTCGTTTAGAAGTATTAAAACAATGTGTTGGTTATATTTTTAGTGATAAAATTGCAGAAGCAAGAAAAGTTTGTCGAATTTTTTTTGTATTGTTTTTTAATTTATAAATAAAAAATATTTTTATTTTAAATAGACAAGTGGTGCCGTATTTTATTCAATTAAAAGTCATGAAGATGCACGAATTGCATTATGTAATGAATTAGCATCATATAAAAAACAAAATAAACCACGATTAAATAATCAACAATTTGAAATGATTGCTAATTTACTTAATTGTGCTCTTGAAGTAAATAGTTTTATTATCTATGTTATATATATATATTTTTTGTGTTATTCTATTTAGGCAAGTTCATCAATTGATGAACATGGTATTGCTTATACGATGCTTACTTTAGCAACAACATTTCATCGAGTATGTTTTAAGATAAAATAATATTATTCTGTATACATAAAATAGTGTTAAATCAGATTAGTGTATTTATGATAAAATCATACGTTCGATACATTTATTAAAATTTTTTTTCTTATAGTTATGTTTACTAAATGAGTTTATTATCCTGGGTACATCACGATACAATCATTTAGAGTTATTTTACTTGATTAAATTGAAGAGTCAGAAATTGTATGGTTCCATATTCTGGAGAATTCGATGGTTATGACATAATTATAATGTCCTACCGTTTTGAGATAGATAGATACATTTTCATGAACATGCGGCTTGGTATTATTATGATAAAGTTTGACGGCATGTGTGTTAGATGCTTTTTGATTTTGTTGACAAGAGATTGCGAACAATTATTAATGTAATAGTAATGATCGACAGATCGTTCTCATTCCAGACGATAGATTAAAACAAAGTCAGTGGTATTAAAAAGTATAGAAAGCAATATTTTTGGAATGAAGAGATTTTATCGAACTACAGTTGATGGAGACTTTTCGCTTGCTGTCCAGGCGAAAATCTAATACCTTTTGACGAATTTATTTATGACAAAATAATACCAGTCAGATGGCTAAATATCCAGCGAAAGGTAATTTTTTTCAGCTTTAAGTAATCGGAAATGATTCGCTCGATGATGCCGTGACTAAGAACAATTTTCATTTTATATTTCATCAAATGTAAGATGAGGATTTTTTATCCTTTTAGGTTGTAGGTGTAAACATAAAAGTATAATGGAATAAAATCGATTTTCTCGTGAATCTATATGATCGTAAAAAATAGAAAATAATTCAACCATGAATAACTTTTAGTGTGTTATTGAAATTTTTCATATTATTATGACAAATAAATGCTAATGATAGATTAGAGAAAATTTAGAGCACTGTTGAAACTATAAGCACATATGGAAAGAAATTTTCTTTGAATTTTGCATGAAGTAATATAATACTAAAATCACTACATTTATGATATGTCTAAAATCGTTTTGTCTAGATAATTACGTCATAGAGTAAACTCTGAATGTTAAAATGAAAGATGAGTTCTAATAAAATTTATATGAAAATATTTTTTTTTTTTTCTCATAGAAATTAAGTGAAGAAGCAACACAATTTATTTATACAGAAATACAACGTCATGCTGTTTGGGCAAATATGCAATTTTGGGAAATGTCATTTTATTCTGATGTTCAACTTCAAATACGAAATTTATATTTATCACATGAAGATTCAAATCAAATAAATATTGAAGTTTCAACTGTAACTGATACATCATCAACAGATACAGTTACACATCAAGTATTAGTAAGAAATTTTATTTAGTACATTAATTTTTTATTTTTTTCAATAGACAACAAATGAATCATTATCTCATCATAATGGACCAATAATACATGAAAAAACAGCTATAGAAATAGCTGCTGAACAAATGCGTCTTTATGCTCAAAAAACATCTGAAGAACAACATTCAATTGAAGATCTTGAAGAACAAACACTTTATGCATTAGCAATACATTATATTCAATTAATGGTTTATATGAAACTTCCATTAGATATATCATCATCAACAAATATACGACATTCAATATATAATCATGTTTCACATATAACAAGTTGTGATGCAGATAGTGTTACAAGTGATTTTTATCATAGTACTAATGATCCATTTAAGTTAGTTATTTATGATTTCTTGTTTTTTTTTTTTTTTTTTTTGGGGTTTTTATTAAAATAAATTAAATTTTTTTGTGTGATAGTTGTTGATGAAACAATCACTTTTGGTTGTCATGATAAGTGG